GGAAAGTGTCAGATAAGTCATCTGTTCTGCGATCCAGATCTAATATGTCGGTATGGTCCGAGAAAAACGAGTACCGGTAAGCTACACTGTTGTGATGGGCCAATCCGAAAGCGAGAAGGGAGCGTACCGCGCGAAACTCATTCGCAAGAAGAACCGCCATTCGGCCCGTCTAGTTACCTACAGCCTCCGGCAGTCAAGGTGAGGCGAGTGGCTATAGCCAATCTCACAGGACCAACGTCAGGCCAGCCCAACTTGGCACAGACCTGTGGTTCAGGACCAAGATCAGAACGCTGTCTTTCTAACATGCAGTAATAGGGACATGAATAGGGGCAAACTGACGTAAAGCGAAGACGTTTGGTTTACGGTAGGTTTCGAATCGCGACCCATCAAGATCCTACCGAGCCGATGGTGCAGTTGGATGCGGAGGGGTACCGGTACGGTAAGCTGCCAGCCTGCGAGCGAGTGGTGAGGCGCGTTGAGGGAGCGCCATGGTCATACTATAGCCACCATGCGCAATTGCCTGCGCACGCCTCACGAGCCCGACATTGAGTAAGCGAGGAGTGAATTTGCCAGTAGGGCCGGCCATGGCTAGCATAGCTTGCTCTCTGCGAGTTGATGGATTACGTTATAGTTGAAGTGAGTGATTGACTTGGGCGTTGACCGTCTAGTCGTAGTATTATTTTTACATGAGATCGCCTCATCGTTGTGATAGTGGGCGACTTGTATGAAACAGACATTGAGATATGGAGAAAGATATTACCTACCTTGCAGTCCAGTCAAGGTCGGGCGTACAAAGTATGGTGATACATGAAAGTGTGGTGTGGGAGAAAATGACATGAACGAATAAACGAAGGTATCCCATAACGCCAATCTCAGTTGTATAGCCCCAAAGAGAAGCTGTACCTTTTGCTGCGCTAGCTTGGGTACTGTGCCATATCCCAATGCCCATCCGCAGTGATGCTTGCGCATATATATCCCGTCTAACTCCCATAACGTGTGTTCTAAGCTGATCTGATGTATGTGCAAGTTTCCAAGTAGCCTCAGTACAATTTGCGCTCAGGGAATACCATGTCATCATAGCCGGTTCCTTGAGTTTGATGGTGATAACCAGTAGGCATGGGAGCGTTAAAGTCATAGCTATTGTCGATCCTGCGGATAGCATCTGTCGACATGGAGGAACTTCGACTACTACGGTCACTTCCACTATGATGAAGATAACCACTGTAGCTCTGGGACATCGAAGTCATGGGCATAGGAGCGTACGATGAAGGGTTTGAATTCGCCATGGAGGAGATTGCAGAGATGCGTCGATCCTTTCCGCGGCCCTTGATTCCTTTGTTGGAGTTCTTGTAAAGCGATGCAAAGTACTCCCAGAGCTCTTTATCCTCTTGTGACACGTAGTCACTGGGAGTGATGGTGGCAAACTTTTGCGTCAAGTATCTTAGCGTGGCGGCGTGGAACTTGTTTTGGTGTGACTGCTCTTCGTTAGCCATGTGACTCTAATTAGTGTGGAATGCTCACCTTTAAGTTGCCAAGCTGAGTGAATTGCTTGCCACAGTCATCGAGCCTGCAAGTGAATGGCTTGATCTGTTGATGAACAATCTTGTGTGCACGAACATTGCCTCTTTGAGCAAACGTCTTGCCACAAATGTCACAACTATACGGTCGTTCTCCAGTGTGTCGCCTTTCGTGCGTCTAAGTAGTACGTATGTCAGTACCATATCAACAGGGAGATGACGCGCGTCTTACCTTGAGATTGCCGAGCTGCGAAAATGACTGCCCACAACCAGGTGCTTTACAGTTCTAAGCTGTGCGTTAGCTATTGTCTGGATGAATGGGTTAGTGAAAGCTCACAAATGGTTTCGCGCCGGTGTGTGCGCGGATGTGGATGTCTAGATGTGTCTTCTGGAAGAAGCTCTTGCTGCAGTCTGGTATGTTGCATTGGTACCTCTTACGCGTTTTCTGGCTAATCTTGACCTCGGTCTCCTGCTATGACAAGTGAGTACCGGATCATTCGTGGTAGAGAAGAAGTTCATACCTTTGCCTCCTTTGCTTGCGGCGTTGTGGGTTCTTTAGCTTGGATGGCTCTCATGAGAGTATCCACATCGGTGGCGAAGTTTACACCGGTGCGATCCGTCTGCTCGGAAGCAGCACGCCTGCACTCTGCCACGTAAGAGTGGTCGTTGTACATGGGAGCTGAGGATATGGGCGAAGCGCTCTCAGATTTGACCATCGTGTTCCGATTCATTAGGAACGAGCTATGAGCGTCTCGAACAGTAGGATGTGACTGTACATCTGGGGCTGTGCCATAGGTAACAGCCTGCGCAATGTTCGATGAATAGTACGAGGATTGTTGCATATTGTAGGGGTTGGTCGAGATCGGGTCGAAAGCGAACGCTCCTGATTGATACGGTACCGAGCTCGACAGGCCAGTGGCGGAGAAGATGGGCATACCCATGTCCATTTGCGTAGTTGTTGGCTGATAACTTCGGGATGCCGATGTATTTGCCACTGTTCTGGGAATATCGTACGGAGACATCATGTTGGCCAGATGCAGGTTTGTGACGTGTATGGTAGGATCTCTTCGTTCATGCCAAAATCCGACGTGATGCGAAGCAACAACTGCAGCCATAACAGAGAGGAGGAGTTGGCGCCACAGAGCGGACGGTGGGGGTGAAGAGGCTATGTGTTTAGCGACCGAGCGTATGAGTCTTGAGATGAACAGTGAGCGGCTTAGGCCGACGGCTGACTATGATGGGATCTGGAAGGACTGTGTCTCAACGACGAACTAGTGGAACAGTAAGGTTCAAATGGCGCGGGAGCTATGCGATCAATGGATGTCGTTATGCTTGGTCGATATCATCTGCGGTTGGGGGAGCATATGGGGGTATACATATGGTTGGGCCAGTCCACTCTTCCCAGCGTCCCGCAGATGGCAAGGATGATGGATTGTCGTGGAGCAAGTCAAAGGGCCTGGTGGCAGTGAGGGATTCGGAATCGCGACCAGTTCACATGCAGCAGAATAGACATGGTCATGGACATGGACAAGGGAGTTCGTCCCACCTGCAGCCAGGCCAAGGTGTACGTCTGCCACAGACGCTGTTCGGCTTAGGAGGTTTAGTGACGCCCACACAGACCGCGAAAGTGCAGGGGAGGTCAATCTGCAGAGTCGCAGAATGGGGGCGCCGGGGCTTGCGGCACGACAGGGGTGTCCGTGTATGCTTACAAGCGTAGTCCGAACGGAACCGGGGTCATGGCACCAGTGTGAACAGACGTAGTGGCTGCGCAGCTTAGACTCAGGTCACCGCGTGTGGGGGTCTTCCAATGAGACAAACGCCCATGTCGCATTTCATTGGCGGCGGTGTTGTAGATGACCAGTGAGGTTCATCAGTCTGCCGCATCAATGCACCCGATCCCCTCGATTACCATATTCATGTAGTTGCCAGGCCCATGGAGAAGGTTGTGTTGGCTTCGGACCACAGCTAGTTGATATAGAGTAGGTACTTGACCATGTCCGTGAATTCGTTCTTCAGGACCGAAAATCGCATTCTGAGATTGAAATGTCTCCGTCCGGCCCGCTACCTACAACCCTGGTGAGGATCTCAGGTCCGTTTGTCTTGGCTGGGCTGTCATTGCAATTTCGAGGTACTATGTACATCTCGTGCTCTTCGTACGATCAGGAGTAACCGTGAGCGGTCAGCACCTCCACACGTGGGCGCAAGTAGGCGCCCATGTTCAAAATAGCGACGGCCGCCGCCGCGCATGACCGCTTGCTCCCGAGGCTGTGAGATGCTCATACTCGCCAATCTCCCCACTCTTTGGGACAAGTCCATACGCCTCATGAGGAACGCCTCATAAACGGATGGCGAATGGGTGAGCCTCATTCGTGGTAACACGTTATGTAACGAGACGGGCAATGCCCAAGCCGAGAGGGGCGTTTTAGCTCGTATGGTACCCCCAGGCTGTCATTCACTCGAGCAGAAAGCAAAGCAAGGCAAGGCAAAGCACAGCAAAGCGTTCTCCTGGCCGGGTTCCCATTGTTCGCTTGTTCGATTTCCAGTCCTGGACTCCTGGCCCCATTTCGGCGATAATTGGATCCCCATTTTCGGGTCTGCCGTGGCCCAGTGGGCGAGGGGAGCGGGACATGGCTGCCACGATATGTATCAGATGAAATATTCAGGAGCTTGCCAGACCAAGGGAGAACATACGAGTGGGCCATGGCAGTGCCGGACATGGGTGTAGGGGTGTAGGGGTGTTGGGGTGTAGGGGTGTATGTACACTCTAGGTGTTTGTGAGCAAAGCCCTTGAAGATTGACAACGCGATTACATTACGCCGCTGACTTATCCGTCCACCCCACTGAAGCCGCCCGATCTTAGCTAGCGTCTGTCCCAGCCCCTCGGGACCTTGGCGCTTTGTTTTGACGAGTCTTGACTCTTGACCAAACTCCTCCACCACCACATACCCATACCAGTCTACCTACTACTATACCACTACCACCACTTGGCACTGGCACTGGCACTCTGCACTCTGCACTCTGCACTCTGCACTCTGGCACTTGTTTTCTCCGCCTTAGCCTTCCACATTGCCGCTTCTAGAAAGCCGTGCAGCAAGACAACAGTCCCCGGTCCCTGTCTCGACTCTAGAGCACCCTTGTACGACCAAGTTTGTCCCTACCTAGCCGCCACCTTGTTGCCCACCCCATCACCATCTCTGCCAGACTGGGCTGTATCTTCCTCGCCGACCTCCCGCGCTTCTGTATACAAGGCGCACTCTGCCGGGACTTGCCTTCTCTCCTCTTGCGGTCGACTCAGTGCCGACGTTGTCCCAGTACCATGGCCGTAGGCAGCCTTGATCGCAACTGGCAAGCCATGTTTTAGACACGTTCGAATTGCCTCGAATTGCTCTTCTGACTTCTTCAAGCTTGCCCACATGTGTCTGGGATCTTCGCCCCTCCGTGTCTCTCCCTGAGCCAGGCTGATTGCCATTCAACTGAACACTTCAGAGTTGCTATAGTCGACCCATGAACTTCTTTGTTTGCTGTTCCCATCTTCTTCACCTCGTTTGTCTTGAACTTTTTAGTGCAGAGCAGAAGGATATCAAATGCCCCGCGACGGTCAATGAGAAGATTTGAGGAGATATTCCCCCCACTGTCTGTCTATACCATTCCTGCTTCCTGTCCTGACTGGATGTAGTCCACGCTTCCATGGATACCCTGTTTTGGCCGACCTAGAAGGCCAGACCCTCCCCTCCCTGCTGAAATAGGAATGACTCGGTTATTACGCTGTCTTCTTCCCCACTACCGTATACTTTGCAGATCTATCCAGGTAGGAATTGATACCAAACTAGCACTGGCGGCAAGCTCAAAGTATGTACCTGACGGATTTTACACTCGCCTTCGTGTCGGCCTCGCGTTCGCAGTCAGAGAAGAAGCGAGGTCTTACTGCAGGCTGCCAAACACACAACAACGACCCGGCTTCGTGTATTGGCGGACTGTCAGCTGCTAAATCTAAGACAGACATGGGCATGACGCATGTGGGCGAGGGGTCTCTGATCGTTGGGACATCCGTCTTCCTATCCAAATCGGTGGACCTGCAGTAGCCTCAAACATGCCACAGGAACCCCATCGCTGGTAGTATTTGGATCTCGCTATGTCGTCTCCAAATGGCAGAGAAATATGGACTGAGCTTATGCATGTAAGGACTAAACTAGTAGTCGCGCTCTCCGCCTTTCGAAGGATTCACAACTCGAAAAGACCATGGAGGTATCCACACGCTATGAGCATGCTCATGTTTGGTTGGCGTTGGCCGCTTACGGAACGAGCGAGATAGAGTTTTCTCAGTCCCACGCACGCTCTTAGAACGCGTACCCCAGGTCGAGATCTCATCTGCGGTAACTACTTTCCCTCCCGCCTCGGATTCGCATCTAGCGGCTGGCCAATGGTCATGGCAACGACCCTTTTGGCCCGAACCCCATGTTGATACGCACGGCGCGGCACGCGGAAGCTGCGGCTTTGCCTGCCGCGGCCCTTTGTCGGGAGCATATGACGCGCAATCGACCAGGCATCCGTCTCGCACTTTCGTGTCCTCTGTTCAGACCATGCACGTGCGCAATTTCGATATCCTCACCACAAACGACGGAATGTACAATGCACAGAGTACTCTTCATGGCTGTCGAGGACATTGGTACGTTTATCAAAGAACATTGGTTCTAGCTGTGTATCGCCAAGACGTTTGGCATCAGCTGTCAGACTCTATCGGATCTAGCGTCAAATACAGTGATCCAGCAAATGTGCCTGATAGCCTCTGTTTGTGAGAGACATAGATCAGGGTTCCCTGCAATCGACATCGTACGGGGTTCGACAACATCCTCCTGTGATACTATACATCTACTGTTGCCATACTCGCCAAATGTACATTCTAACGAATGAACGCGATCAAGTCAGGGGCCGCTGGAGCTTCAATGGACAATTGTGGGCTTTTTGCTGACCCGGAACAGAATATCCGACGTGGTAACGTGCTTGCAATCGGAACGACGATGTTCAGCTGTGACCGTTGCCCCTGGCGTACTGTGTACTCTCCAAAATTCAATGAGATGCTGCAGATGCAGTCATCATTACCAGGCTCGTGTGTGCGAAGAGCGCAGTCTGACGTGGACGATAACTGCTTGTGCCTTGCCGACTGAATATCGGAACGAGGCACAGCATCACCGATGAAAGTCTGTTTTGGTCGTGAGCTGCAGATTTTCAATCTTGTCGTTCATTGAGAACCCCCTATGAGGTATCTGTTGAGCTTTTGCAGACCATATGAAGCCGGTTTCCCTGATCATATGTGCCACTGCTGAAGCGAATAATGTCTTCTATGCCCGTGCGAATATCTCGTTAAACTGGTCAATCAATATTTCAGTCATCATCTCACAACTGTATACCTAACGTTGATCAAACGCACATGTATCCTACCAAACTAAGCTCGTGTGTAATCGTGCATTTCTCCCCGGGCAGACCTACAGCAATTGTCCATGTCGGCAAAAACTCTCTGACACAACGGTCTCCTGCAAACCGTCACCACTACTTTGACATTGAGTATAGAGGAAAAGGTACTAAGCCGTTGGTCCATAGCACGATAATTTCTCCCACCTATAAAACGTTCGCGGCACTAGGCCCGAGAACAAACGAGCCCTCGCTAGAACCTGCTGCTCATGCTCGCGGAGCTGCGGAGCTGGAGCCGGAGCTACTACAAACCTCGCGATATAACAGCCCTGCCGTCTTGGATTGGAGATTTGCGACCCCTGGAGCCCTCGATCTTAAATGCCTTCTTCGACAACCAAGGTAAGCAAGCTCATATCAGTTGCTCTACTACCATCCATGCGTCCAAGTCAGGAGTCTATGTCGCCATCATCGGTCCTGTAAAAGAGTGATCAAAAACCCGAGTACCTTGCCGACTCGCCCATCTATCGACGTGCATGAGGCCGGGAGTTTCAAGGCCAATACTGTTGCACTGACAAAAATGGAAGTGTGTTGTGAAGGATTTGAAAACCCGGGAATTCATTCCACAAGCATTATCGTAGAGCAAAGCGGGATGCGATTTTTGGAGATTGAGCGCTGGTGTAGTTGTGTAGTTCCGACTGCCTACCTTGTTTGGGCGAGCTGCATGTCTGTGACTGCTGGGAGTAGCGAGCTGGATTCAGAGGATTGCTTGGGCGTCCGGCGTGATGCACGCTTTGTCCTAGCAGGTGAGACAGGCTGAAAGTCCCAACCGATCAGTGGAGATGGGCGTGACGATGATGGGGTTTTTTCACGATGATGGAGAGGCGGTATACAGTTATTTTTTTTCTCCGCGTTGCTGCCCGACCAAGACGGGAAGATTGAGGTTGAAACTTGGAATCCACGAGGTTCCCCACGGATAGGGTCCCTGGGCCTGTCTTGTCCGGCTCTTTTGTCCTTCGGCTGGTTCTGGTTGGGCATGACCCAGTTCAGGAGAGTGCATGGGTAACAGGCAACCGATAGTTGGGTCGTTATAGACAGGCTCAGCGCTTAACTCCATGTAGGTCCATGAGGGGGCCTCAATTCAAAGAGAGAGGGAAGGGCAAGGAGACGGGTTTCATCAAAAGTTCCAATTGTTGGGAGAGTTGAAATTTGCAAGACAGAAACGGGCCATCAGCTTCTAAAGGGTCCAGCTCAGTCGGGCAAGCTGATGCAGGGCACTCATGTAGCCCAGGAACGGCTCTTTGTAGCGGGTGACCCATGATCCCTTGACCACTCAAGCTGAAATAAAGTTCATTCTGTAAGATCTGTTCAGGAAAAGCGCTGCCTTCGAATCTATCAACGGGTCTGCCGTATGTAGCGGCCTCATCATTCGGCTCAAGCGGCGACGACCCCTTTTTCCAAGACTGAGATGGGTCTCGACTACGAAGCCGTCGGCCTTGGAAACACTCCTTTGTCCATTATTCAAAAGGAGAAATGCATGATTCCACATGCAGATTCTCCTCCTATGCTTCACTTCGCCGTGATCGTCGAGCGTGGCGAAGATGGGAAAGTGAGGCTTCGGATTCGCCGTGCAGGAACACGATGCATGCTTGAACCGACCAACACGGTAGGTTCAGGTCGATCTTTGCCCTGGGATATTCTGGATCCATTGTCTTCCGAGTCAAACGTCCTGGGATCGAGAGCAAGGCTGGACTGACTTACAGCCTCGCAAAGTCAAGTCATGCGGTAGATCAGTGACTCGGTGTCAATTCCCCCCAGTCCAAAGTCTGAAAAATGGTGTGTCTAATATCTTCTTGCATTTGCCTATATTGCATTTGCGTCCACAACCCGGTTCACACGCAAGTCTGCACCCGCCTTGAGCAACTAGACACTAGAGACGTTAGCATGTCAAGATGTAAAAACCCCATCATGGGTCGGCCTGTTCATGGCGATGAGCGGGGGGGGGGAGGTGGGGAGTTTGCAAGGGAGTATCCGCAAGGGTTTCGATGATCTGGCCGTAACCCGATTTAGGAGCTCCTACAGGATCTAAAAACTACAATTCCGAGCGTGCATGGGGGCTGCTGCGGGGGGGTTGGTTGGCATGGTGAGCGGCAAGATGCATGTCTGCACCACTGAGCGGCAAAGCGGACTACGAGATCTTGTTTCTGCGGATGGGAAAAAAAAGGGAATGTGGGGTTGTTTGTCGTCAGCATGTGTCACATATTCTCTGATATCGGTGTAGTGGGTGGTGGGTGTTTGTGTGGTGGGAAAGGGTGGTGGAGGGAGGGGTGTGATGACCGAAACACGGGCGAGATTTGGCGCGGGGCGGGCAGATGCATTATAAGATGAGGAAGTGAATGAACGGAGGTGGAGTCTCATATTAAATACTACCTAATCGTTCGGGCAACGGCAAACGGCCTTACTGAACACGGCCGATAGACATTGTCGGCACATTAATCTCCTCGGCTCTTGAGCAATGCTTCAAGCCCTCTGTTTAGGATTGCATCAATCTCGTTCGTTCTTTGTTGACAAGAGTTGTGGTATCCAGCACACCGATCTCTTCTCAGACATTATGCGGGCGCAAAGGCGTGGCTTTAGATCTATTCCAGCAACGAGGTTTCCATCGCGATGGAGCATGCGAGCAGCTCGATTCAGACTTCTCTGAAGCCGCTAGTACATGTTGCACGACCCGAAGCTGGCAATAGGGCGGGCTGTTGTGCGAGTTGAAAACACGGATGAGTACCGACGGGGTGGGGCGGAGCAGACGTTGGGGGCGAGGTTGGAGATGAGAAGTGAGAAGTTAGATTGGAGATGGAGATTTGGAGATTGGAGATGACAGCTCGCTTCTTTCCCGGAATTCTAATAAGGTGGTCAGTGATAACAGGGAGAGATA